TTTTATGTTTTATGTATAATGAGTTAGATGATCAGTGTCAGTGAGATAACCCAATCTGTATGCTCGTAACGAAAAACCCCCGAAGGGCGCGGTGATTCAGAGGCACTAATAGTAAGGAGCTCTATCTCGATGTCCCTACCAGATCAGTTCTCGAACCACGGGCAAGGGTGAACTATCGTTCCAAGCCCTCACCAAGACGCAACCACTGTACAGTAACCTTGGGGATTCTCAACCCCGGAGAGCGTCATCACCTCTCCACTCTTTTACCTTTCGAGTTCACACCCAGGGATGGTGAACGGCCACACCTACTGTTAGCACACTATCTCACTATCGTGTCCGGTTTACATTCTCCTAACCATGCTTTTGTGTCAAATTCCAAAATTATGTCAAATCTCTTAGCCACGCTGTACATTACAGGACGGGCTCCCTGATGGTTATGTTCAAGTCATATTGTATAACAGTAATAAATAAGTTTGATATACAAGTTCAATCTTCTTAAATTTAACAAAATTAATTAAATTAAATAAAACTCCACAAAAGTTAAGTAATATGACCCCTACCTCAAAACGGATCGTCAATCGGAAGTCGAGAAGCTGAGAAACGAAGCTTCACCAGAATCCGGCCACCGGCAGGGGCGACAGCGACGGCGGTACGGCAGCGGAGCTTCCCGGAGAAGAATCCCACGGCGGAGTTGGGTCCTACCCCCCTAAATTGATAGTTCTAAATCCAATAGCAATGTCAATTTTATCAAATTCGGCCTCTAACAACTCGGATCGAGATCCTCAATTCCGGTCAAATTTCGAGTCTTAAATCTTTGTTTTTCAGCCATAGATCTTCAAAATTGATTGAGGGCTTTCATTACCCGTAAGATTCTGAGTATTTTGACACAAAGATCACGAGGATCCAGCGGCTAGATCACTAGAACCATCCTCCCATTTTTCTCACGGCGGTGGCGACTCGTTTTCCGGCAAGGCGACGGCGGTGACCACGGCTGGTGGCCCAGAATGACTCGCCAGCTCCCTCTGAAGCTAATGGGCTGGGTGGTGTCGTTCACGGCGGCCGGAGGAGGGAGGTACAAGGGTGGCGGCGGCGAGAAATCCGACCACCACGGGCGGCGGCACTCCGGTCAGAATCAAGCCGTGCTGCTGGTATGGTTTTCTTCGTCTCTTCGCTCTGAGTCTATTGAGACCGGAATCACCTCGATCGTACACCGAACGGCGAAGAGATCACGATCGGAAGTTTGGGTGTTTTTCAAAACTTTGGCCGACGAGTGTGGTGTCGTCCGGCGGAGTTGGCGGCTGGAAGACACCAATCCGGACTCAGCTCGATGAGATCTTTCCAATGAGCTGGGAGGTGTCAAAAACGGACGCTGGAATCTCGCCGGAGGTGGGTCGGCCATGCGTGGAGAAAGAGAGAGAATGAGAGAGAAATGAAGAGAGAGGAAAAATGAGGATTTATGATTGATGAGGATAAGGGACACGCCCAAGTGGCACTAAATGACAGGTTGGGCATGTTGACGGTCAAAATTTTTATTTTTGACCCCCACATTTCTCTTAAATTTGAATTCTTGCCCAGATTTCTAAAATTTTTACGCTTAAGTCCTTAAAAATTACAAATTGACCCCAAATAAATTTTGAATTTTACACACAAACAATCGAATTTTGTGTTTCTATGAGATTTACAGTTATAATGATTGTTGATTGTTAAATGTTAAGTGTGGACATGCAAAGCACCGGATGACATAATGATAAAAATTTGATGGAAAATGGGATAAGCATTAACATAACGACCCAGCTTTCGAGCCGTTATTTATCATGACCTTTAGCAGAAACTTAATTAACTTCTAATAACTTAACACTTGGTTTCCCAAAATTACAAAAAAAAAAAAATTTTGAAGCTGATTTTAATGTAACGCTTTTTTTTCATTGAAACATGTTGCGGAATAACTTAGGTCCCGTTCATTTCACCAATTTGAGTTTATAATTCGAGTTTTACTACAGTAAAAGGCTCTCAGAAACAGTCACGTCTAATTTTTTTACTACACTAAAAAGCTCTCACATAAAGTCACATCTCAACTCAAATCAGCGAACTAAATGAGCCCTTAAATGAATTTTGATTACAAGTTTGAACAATTATACCTGTAAGATATAGTATTTGCAAATACATACCAATTTTCAAACGTTTTTAACTTAGCATAATTAATTAGGCATCTAACAAAGTCTCATGCTTTTAACATAAAGTATATTTACTTAAACCATAACTTTAAACTATGTTAACCTTAAGCGGAAGTTAACTGCGTGATGGCATTCATTGCCTAATCCCTCCATTATACACGCGCTTTGCCACAGTCCACCAAGGAGCTGTAGGCTTCATACTTACAACATGAACAAATTTAGTGAGCTAAAAAGCACAACTAGTGCAAACATTCCTCACAACATAGTTTTCAAACATAACAACATGACAGAGAATGCATGACCATCTAGCTATTCATCTTTCGGGCCCTGTACACGTACGCATATGCACAACACCAAAGGGAGTGGGAAAGTGACCCAAATATTTAGTCCAACTATCCTAAGGCCATAAAAGTTTCATTTAACCTCCCATCCTATGAGCCATAGAAAAATTTCTTGCATACTCATGACTAGAGGGTGGTATGACACTTAACATGTCTTCATTATCATAGATTCTTATTTAGGTGAACATGCGATTATAATTGATAAGTGCACAAAAATGTACTTTAATCACTGCTAGTTGCCGAATAAAAAGCTAAATTATTTTTAACTTTTTATTAAAAAATTTCCATGATTTTTATTCATAATATTTTTATTGGAAATATTTTGTGTGCGTTTGGAACTCGTTTCAAAATGATTTTATTTTTTATATAAAAATGGAAATGAAAATGTTTTCAATCTCAGACAAAATCATTTTTAAAAATGCGTTTGGTAGTTTTATCAAGAAATTATTTTCAGTATAAAAAAATCCATTAATGTCTCTCTTTCTATGCTCGAGAAATTATTTTCAGTTTTATGAAGAAATTATTAAATTAAAAAATTATTTTTTATTTCTATTTTTTTATCTTTAATTGTGTCAAACTCCATTTTTTTCCTTAAAAAACATGAAAAATAATAACAAAATCAGACTCCAAACAAGCCTTTGATTTATCTTATTTAATTACAGATTTAAAAAGCTTTGGGACCCAGCTGTGGATCATTACTCCATCAGCCAAATCACTTCAGCCATTTCTTCTAATCTTCCTTGCCACGTGGCCATTCAATATGCTGAAGACTTCTCACTCCAGATTTCAATGGCAAATCAGTGCCCAAATTTCCTATTTGTCTTCAATAAGATCAAATCAGTCCAGATTTTCTCTCAAGTCAAATATTTGATTTCTCTAAATTAATTGTAATTTTATTTTATTTTATTTTTTGTGATTTGTTTCAGTTTTCCTTTTTTTGTAATTTACTTCCTCAATTTCTAGCAATCTTTCAACATTATAAATAGGGAGGTGTACTTAACTTTATTTTTAATTCAATAGTAGAGAAAATTTTTTGAAAGTAGAGTTCCATCATTTTAAATTCTTGTTTCCTTACTTTTTCTATCTTTCTGTGAGTGACACGCAATTGATGAGAGACTGAGTAATGAGTGAATCAAATTCTTTCATCTTTTATGTTATTTTAAAATATCATGTGCCAAACTTTTATATAAGTTCTGTCAAATAAAAAGATTATACTACTTTATATGAAACATATACTTAATTAATAAGATCACATATATATACACATAAACATGTCTCTCATTACACCGACACAAAATAACTAAATTATCAAATAATTATTATACAAAATAAACTAGGATGATTGTTAAAATTTAATATAGGACATATTCATGGAAAACTAAAAAAACAAATACAAGCACAAAATATAAGTTTTAAAGTTTTTATATGATTTGTTACTAAACACAACTTTTTGTAGCAAAAAATGTATTTTTGCCAGCAAAATATGAATTTGTTAGCAAAATCTTGTTTTCCGCTACCGAAATTGGGTAGCAAAAAATTATGTTTTTTGTTACCAAAGATTATCTAGGTTGCCGAAACTAGTTTGGTATCAAAAGTTGATATTTCGCTACCAAAATTTGGTGACAGATGACAATGTTTTGCTTCCAACCATAGCTAGCAAATGTTATACTTGTTGCTTAAAAAAATGGTAGCAAATACCACAAGTGGGAAAAGATTTAGCTTCCCGCCAATGTTTTGGTTACCAAAACATGTTTGGTAGTAAAAAGTGATTTTTCACTATCAAATTTTAATGGCGGATAGTTATATTTTATTTCCAAGCAAATGTTATATCTTTTGCTACCAAAAAGTTCGGTAGCAAATACCTCGGGTGGAAAAAAATTTTTACTTCCCGCCAATATTTTGTTACCAAAACATGTTTGGTAGCAAAAAGTGATATTTCGCTATCAAATTTTGGTGGCAGAATCTTATGCTTTTATTACCAAATATTGTTTTGGTAGCAAAAAGCTTTCGGCAGAAACCAAATTTTATTTCCCGCTATGTTATTTGTTACCAAATTATATTTGGTGGTGGATTGTGTAGTTTTTACTATTAGATTTGGTAACTAAAGGCTTGATCATTTTAGGTATTAAAGTATGGTAGTAAAAAGTGTGTTTTCTGCTACTAAAAATTTTTTGGTATTAAAAAGTTTGATCTCTTAAAATGATTATTGTTGTAGTGAATTTTCTGTTTGCAGTTTGAGTTTAGATGTCAATTCTATGTCAAATTCACCTGGCATTAAGTTCAACGATAAAATATATATTTTCTATCATTACATCATTATTGTACTATAATAATTCTTTCTAGATGAAGTTTGACATTCATGCAACTGCACAATTAGTCAATAGAATGCCATCTACTCCAAAGTACCTTTTCGAGAGACCAATCCAAAGAATTTTAACTTTTGTTTGCATCTAACTCCAAGCGGAGAAAGCGAGAAGTAATGAAAATGTCCATTTTTAGTTTTATGATTATAATTGGTTCCATTTATCTTCTTCTTTTCCAAACAGTTTTCTCTGCAGTTGCTAGTATTCATCAATTTGAATCCATCAGCGATGGCACAACCTTGGTTTCTAAAGAAGGAAGCTTTGAGTTTGGTTTCTTCAGTGTCGGAAATTCCAAGAATCGTTATGTCGGAATTTGGTACAAGAACATCCCGGTTCAAACCGTCGTTTGGGTTGCAAACGGATGCAACCCAATTAACGACTCCTCTGGCTCGTTGACCATAAACAACACAGGCAATCTTGTGCTCCTGTATCAGAACAAGACTGTTGTGTGGTCGACGAACTCGTCTAAACAAGCCCAGAAGCCAATAGTAGAGCTTCTAGATTCCGGCAATCTTGTACTAAGAGGTGAGGAAGATGGAAACTCCGAGAACTATTTGTGGCAAAGCTTTGACTATCCTTCGGATACATTGTTACCAGACATGAAATTAGGGTGGGATCTGAAGAGGGGTCTTGAGCGGCGTGTCTCGTCTTGGAATCGTTGGGATGATCCTTGTCCTGGAGATTTCACTGATGGGGTTGAGTTTAATCGACAACTACAGACTTTCCCCGAAATTTATATCAGAAAGGGCACCGAAAAGTTCTACCGCACCGGACCTTGGAATGGCCTTCGTTTCAGCGGCGCACCGGAACAAAGGACAAACCCACTTTATAGTTACTACTTTGTTTGCAACGATGATGAGGTGTATTATGCATACTACCTCATGAATAAGTCAGTGATCTCAAGACTAATTCTAAACCAAACCACGAGTTTGCATCACCGACTTATATGGATCGAGACCGATAAAACTTGGAGGCCTTACTCCTCATTACCTAGAGACGACTGCGACAAGTACGGTACCTGTGGAGCCCATGCAAATTGTATGATAAACGACAGTCCGATCTGTCATTGTCTTGATAGATTCAAGCCCAAGTCTGTAGAGAAATGGAATTCAATGGACTGGTCCGACGGATGTGTGCGGAATAATCCGTTGAACTGCACGGAGAAAGATAAAGACGGGTTTGTGAAATATTCTAGCTTGAAACTTCCAGATGCAACGCATTCCTGGGTGAACAAAACTATGAATCTAAAGGAATGCAGGGCCAAATGTTTAAGCAACTGTTCTTGCACGGCATATACGAACTCCGACATCCGAGGACAAGGCAGTGGTTGTGCCATCTGGTTTGGTGATCTGATGGATATCAGGCAATATTCCGACGAAGGACAAGATCTGTTTATTCGCATGCCACATTCAGAGCTAGGTATGGGCCTAATTATTTTATAGCATATGATTTTATATATATGTCACTCGTTCTATTTATTTATATGATGTCTTTATTTTGAAGTCTACAACTTTGATTTGAATTCCTCATCTGTTTCAAAATAACTTACAAAAAGGAAATTTGTCACTAGTTCTATTGATTTATATTATTTTCTTTATTTTCAAGTCTACAATTTTTATTTGGTTTTCTGTCGTGTTTCAATATAACTTACAAAAAGGAAAATCTGATAGTAAGATGAGAGCAGCAATAGCAGTACCTATCATTGGAGTTGTTCTTGGTATGCTTCTACTTGGCTATTGCATTTGCAAGAAGCGTTCAAAAGGTGATAACGTCTTTTTCTTATATTGTTTTTACTTTCGAGAAAATATATAAATAAATGGAGGGTTATTTTCATCTTTGCAAAAGTAAATAAATTGGGCCACATTTGTTGACTTTGGACCACATTTGATTAGTCCAAATGAAATGAGGTTCTGTCATTTCAATAACGTGTAATGAAAAGTCTAAATAAATTCAAAAAGAGCAATACACACAATAAAAACAATATGGACTTTATTAAATATTTCTAGAACTTTAATTGTCCATTTTAAATAATATGAAAATCGGTTTTATTTGATCTTTCACCTGCCCCCGCGAAATGTTCTTAACCAATATTGTATTGAAGTCTCTAAAGGGACTTGGGGCTCCATCTTAATAAAGGTCAACCTAATAAGTAACATAGTCCAATATCCTTATATGTTTATATTTATTTTTATATTTAAATGATGCAGGAATTGGGTTTATTTTACCCTTTGCGGATTTAACATATATGATTTGATTGTGGATCTTAGGAGCTCAAAGTTGAAAATACACTCATAGGTTTACTCTAGTCTAACAAATGAGAGGTAAGGTTTAAAACCAGAAAAATCATTGCTCATAACACCAACGTTTCAGAAAGGAAATAGAGAAACTTAAATAACCTACACTAAACGACAAGCAGCCAAACGACCTGGCAGGAGTAAAACGACCTACTATCTTATTAGAATCAACAACAACAACTCTTTATTAAGGGGCAGAGAGGATGATCCTGTATCATAATCACAAAGACAACATTATAAGCCAAAAAACTTAAACCAAAAAATCTCCAAATTGCGAACCACATAGACAGAAACTACTTTTGAATCTTTTTCAAGATTATTTGTATTTCAGTTTTTATACGAAAATTGTTCTTCCAATTCGCTCTCTGAGTACTCACCATGCCTTTGTTGCATAGTACCTTTAACAACAAGGGAAAATAATTAACAGTTCTGCTTTATCAATAATTATGCTTTACCTTATTATTTTTTTCAACGTATAAGTATTTATTGTCGATATCTCATTTCTTATGATCCTATTTTTGTGTCATTTTGTCTAAATGTTCGTTAGACAAAATAGATAGAAATGAAACAATAAGTCAGCATGGAGGCCAAGAGGAAGACCTGGACCTTCCTTTGTTCGACCTGTCTTCTGTAACTACTGCCACCGAAAATTTTGCGCCTCACAATAAGCTTGGAGAAGGTGGTTTTGGACCTGTCTACAGAGTAAGTTTCTGTTATGCAAGTTTAATAACAATATAGAGAAAAGGTGAAACATTTAGGATATGTGTAGTAAGTATTTGACGTTTTTTTTTTTTTTTTTTTTTTTTTTTTTTTTTGAAATAACGAGTAAAAAGCTTTTAGACCTCAGAGAATCTCCACTTTAAAACCATAAGTTTCACATTGCACTAAAGTAAAAATTAAAATAAAAACGTGTGCTCTTTGGTTTATGTTTGATATTTTCAGGGTATGTTAGAAGGTGGCCAAGAAATTGCTGTAAAGAGGTTGTCAATAAGTTCTGGGCAAGGAGTAAGAGAGCTAAAAAATGAAGTAAAATTAATTGCGAAGCTTCAACATCGAAATCTTGTGAAGCTTCTTGGATGTTGCATTCAGGGAGAAGAGAAATTGTTGGTTTATGAATATATGCCGAACAAAAGCCTTGACGCTTTCATTTTTGGTTAGAATCCGAATCCAACTAGATTACACAACTAACTTCTACTTTCGTGCTGCTTGATTAACCTGGAAAACACTTTGACAGATCGAAAGCAAGGAAATCTACTCGAATGGCCAGAGCGCTTCCAAATCATATGTGGAATTGCCCGAGGACTTCTATATCTTCACCACGATTCTAGATTGAGAGTTATACATAGAGATCTCAAAGCTAGTAACGTGTTACTTGACAATAACATGAATCCCAAAATTTCGGACTTTGGCTTGGCAAGAACCTTTAGTGCAGATCAGACAGAAGAAAAGACGAGCAGAGTAATTGGAACTTAGTCAGTATAATATCCTTTCGTGCTTTATTTTGTTTTATTTTATTTAAAAAAAAAATATGCATATAAACTATATTCTAAATAACATTTGTTCATTTTGCATATGCTATGTAGTGGCTATATGGCACCCGAATATGCATTCGATGGCTTATTCTCAATAAAATCAGATGTCTTTAGCTTTGGTGTATTAGTGTTGGAGATTATAAGTGGAAAGAGAAGCAGAGGCTTTCACCAGCAAAATCATGGTCTTACCCTCATTGGACATGTAAGTTTAATAAAATAAAATAAAAAGCTCTTCATTTACTATCATTACTTCCAACTACTAATCCAAATTACAATGACATCCTGACAACTTTGAACTTTTAAATTGTAAAGGCATGGACGTTGCATAAAGAAGGGAGATCATTAGGATTGCTTGATAAGCAGGTATTAGAATCACTCCACAATGTAAAACAAGTGTTGCATTGCATTCATATCGGTCTCTTATGCGTGCAACAAAGCCCGACGGATAGACCAAACATGTCCTCTGTGGTTTTGATGCTGGGAAGTGAGAGTGAGTTGCCTCAGCCCAAACAACCTGGCTATTTCACAGAGATGGCTGCAGTGAAAGGAGATCATTCCCCCATGAACCTTGAATCTTCTTCCACGAATGATATGAGCATTACAATGCCGGAGGCTCGATAAGGCTTACCTAAAAGTCCAAACATTAGCTTTAGCTTATACTAAAGTCAACACCTAATGAGCTTCAACAGTTTGTTGCATTTGGTGAGAATCAGATGTTTGTAGTTTTGCAGAAACAGTGTTGTGAAAGTAATTGCTTATTGGATGGCATATATGCGAGTGTTTATTGTTATAATTCCGAAATTTCTTTTACTACGTACCCTTACCCGATAAAAGAGGAGGCATTTTTTTAATCGATGCATTGTTATTTAAAAATATGAAGACTGTCTTACAAATTAAGAACCGTCAATAAACCTTTTGACCACGGTTTAAGAAATCAGCATGAAAAAGAAAGTAATTAATTAAGAATGTCTAACTTTTCGAGACGGTTGTTAACCCTGTCAAATATGCACGATTGGCCACATGATTTTAGGGCGCATTTTCGTCGTTTAAATTTTCCACATGAGATGACAAATATTGAACCATTGTCTTATATTGCATATTGTATACAAACATTGCCAAGCTTCTCAAAAATTTAATCTCATTTTATTATCATAAAGTTGTATTCCTTATATGCCCGTTACTAAAGATAGTAATTTATTTTTGTTGCGTGAATTTACGCTCGCAAGTACATGAGTCACCTCAAGTAATAAAGTGTTAATAAGAGTGTCGATCTTACGAGAAATGTGTTTAATTTTTGTTAATTATCGAAATTGAACAGCTCTAATATTATTTAAACTACAATAATTAATAATGAATAAAACGAACTAATAAAAATAACTAAACAAGCAAAATAAACTGACAAACCTATTACTAGAGCATCAATTTCACCATAATTAATCAGTTCTAATTTATTACCCAGTGAATCTCCTAATTTATTAGTCAAGAACTCTTATTTAATCCAATTACCTCTCTCGAGTGCCTAATCGGATAATATGCTCAAAACCCGATTCCAATATTCCTATTAAAAATCGAGTAAATGAACATTGCTTAAGTTCTCCTAATGACTACGAAGGTATTTCAAGCCTCCTGAACTCTGAAAATCTAAGTTCTGTTATCCAAATCAGACGTATAAATTACCTATTCTCTAGTGCTTAACTCATACATCAAATCATCTAATCTATTTCCCAACAAATTAGAAGCTTCATGAATAGGACAACAAAAATAAACTAAAAAAATCACTTAAAATAAATTAACACTTCATAATTAGGAAAAATCAAACCTCTAGAGAAACAACTACTCCATAACTAAAATTAAACAAGCTACGGGTTCCATTATTTTGAATGGAAGAGAAAACCCCTTTAATCCACGGCAAATGGAAGAGAAAGAAGGCCAAAGCAGTCTTGGATACGTGGCGAGAGATAAGTGGAAGCTAGGGAGAAAGTGGTAGACAAGGAGCCATGTGCGCGCGTGGGGTGGCTGGACGCTGCTCCTTGTCTGTTGAAGGCGCTCTGCTGGGGTAGTGAGTTTACACTCGTCAGTATGAGCGCTGGTGGAGCAGATCCGACTGCCAAAATAGAGACTTTTCGAGCTTTTTACACTCTCAAGTCTGGGATTGGTTAATGGCGAATTCTAGGTTGAATTTCTGATTTGTTTCTTTGAATTTTGACCCATTTAAGCTCTAAATTTTGCAATTAAGCCCACCTGTCACCAAATAATTATATAAATGAAGAAACTAATTATTTTAGAAGAAAAACTAAAATAAAAATGACTAAAACTAAATTAAAGAGACTAAAATAAAATAAATCTAAAATGAAAATTAAATTCACTAAAATTCAAAATAAAGTAAAATAAAATAAAATAAAATAAAAATCTCAAAAACTAGCCACCCTAAATGCACAAAATTAGTGAAATAACTCTATTTTTAATAGAGTTATCATTTTTTATTTATATATGTGACGACTCTTACTTCTGATCATCAATACTACATACGTACCTAACTTATGCCTTAACATCAACTACTTATAATTATGAATTTTTCTTTTGAGCTGTATATATTTTTTTCATGCGGACATAACCCTAAATTATCGTCCATATACCATTGCCATTCATTTGAAGTTTGCATAATAGCATCATAAGAACATAAACATACTTTGTGACTTGAGGTTCCTAAGCATAGCCTCATAATACCGTGATCTTGACTTACATTACATAACCTAACCATACCCATAAATATGGTTTACTCTCAACACTTTGCAGTGTTTACTAATTGCGTGTAGATCCCATTATCCACTTGCCCACACTCCACTGCTTTATCCTTTCTGCATGCCCAATAATAAGTTTCAGGGAGCCGGTGTCTTACCTGAGCTTCCTACATCACCAACAAACATAATGACCTTTCACTCTACAAGTAACAGTAGGTCATAATAAAAGCATACAAGAATTTACACCCATATATATGTGCATTCACACCATACATCCTAACATATTTTTTGTAATGACCAAGAAAATCCCGGAATTTAAATAATGCAATTTATGTATTCACGTCAAGGATTTTTCCTAGAAAAAAAAATATATATTATGTTATATTTTGTGACTGAAGGATTTATGTAATTAACATCTGTATTCCTAAATTCTGTAGCAGATTTTATGTTAAGTTCATGTTTTACGATCAAGTAAATTCGGTCGATTAAATTCTCGCCGTACTTTAAGGCGAAAGAATTTTCAGTACATATACAGTTTGAGAATCTTAATTCCAAAAATCTCCAAGCACAATATGAACTGGCATCTAGTATATATACAGGAGAAAATTACAGCCAGTATAATTTTTAACAATTTCAAAGGAAACTTAAAAGAGTGGATAAAAGTATAAAGGGTAGGTTAATGTGTAGAATTGGATGAGGGAAGATGAAGAGGACTCATGATTATTTTTTTTTCCTCTCTTTCTTCACTTGGCCGGCCATGCTTAGGGAATTTATAGCCAAATTTTGGTTACTTGAGTGTGCTAGAAGCTTTCATGATGAGATGAATCAAATCAACTATTTGACAAGAAGGCTTACTTTACTTCTCTCTTGAAGCATCCAACTGGCCAAGCAAGGGGAAATTAACCTAAAAACTTTGCTAATTAAGCTAGCTTGATAGGCTTAATTAAGAACTAAGAATAGATCAAGCAAAGTCTATAAATGTTAGACCATTAGTGCAAGCATTAAGTTAGCCATTTTACACATTTTCTCTCCTTTTTCACACACCAAAACCGGCCATACTCTACCCATTGCCTCTCAAAATTTTCTCTCACTCTCCTAACCTTAAGCCACTAGCAAACAATAGAAGAAGAAGAAGAAGATCAAAGTGTTCTAGGAGGAGTCTAGTCAAGCATTTCTCCAAGGGTATAAACTCTAAACCCTCTCTTTCTTATGTTCTAGCAAAGTTTGAGATTTAGAAATATTCTTCTCAAATTTTCTTATACTCTTCTAATTCCAAGCCATTAGCAAACCTTAGAGGAAGAAGAAGGTGATCAAGTGTTCTAGGAGGAGCCTAACCAAGGATTTTCTTAAAGGGTATAAATTCTAAACCTTTATCCTCTATTTTCCTACCAAAAATCAAGTTGTGGATCAAGGATGTAATTTGTGGTTCATGAGGAAATAAGTTATAATAAGGGTGTGTGAGTCTTATGCTGGTTTTGTGTACTTTGAGGTTAGTTTGATTAGTATTATGTGGTATGTTTAGGTTTGGTTTAAGTTTGCTTATTTTGGGTTGGAGGAAAAATTTTCCGGTTACTTTGAACGCGAAAATGAGGACCCTAGAGCGAGATTTTTCAGCATATCTAAATTTGAATTTATGGTTCTCGATGTTTTGAACGTTTTTATGTGACTGTGACAAAACACAATTTTAACTCTAAAAGCAAGTTTAAAGCCATTTTGTAAAAACAGTTCAGGCTGTCCAATACAGTTTCGAGAAAAAAAAAACAGCAGCCACTGTTTTCAGCCAAACGAAGCCTTTAGTGGCTGAATTTTAGTTTTCTCAAAAAACAACAATTTTAGATCTCGATGAGACGAAGAATTGTCACGAAGAACAAATTTTTGAAATCTGACCCTAAGATGCAGTAAAATATGGATTTGAGAAACTACACAGTTTTAACTAAACAAAACTAACACAGTATGGTTTTTAACAAAAGGTCATCAAATAACCCGAGATGTGATTTCAGTAAAATACTATGGTATTAAACCTCATTTTAACAGAAATATTCGTAAAGAAAGTTTTCAAAAAAAATGGTTTCTTTTAAGAACTTAATGGTTTATCGAGCAAATCATCCCGAGGGGTACCTACGAGCCCAATACGTTAGGTCCTTAGAATTTTGAAGATTTGATGTGGGTCTAATACCCACATTAATTCAAGAGACCCTGTGAGTTTAAATTTTAATGGCCTAAGAGTTAGAACGCCGTGAATAAGTTTCTAGGTCAAATTAGGCCTTAATATCATAACAAGTCCAATGAGGTAGATTATGGAGAATAAGTTACTAGATTGAGTAATTGATTTTAAATCTAGGCAAGTGGATGATAAGGGAAATTAAATAAATTTATTCTTCAGTAAAGGAGATGAATATATACCTTACGAAAAGGATTAGATTTCCTTCATAAGCTACTAAAATAGAATAGCAAGTGATAGTTAATCTCAATGGGTGTTTGGTGAAAAGTGGATTCTAGCTCTGTAAAATCAGGTAAGTGGGAATCTCACCTACAGTATGAATAGATTTTAAAGAAAAAGTTACACATGTTATTTATGCATGTTTATGCTTTAAGTATTGTACGCGATGCCATGTCATACTGCATACACCTCAATGAGTCAAGAGGAACTTATAAGAATAATCTCAGTTGAGTGCCATACCAGCCTCTGAGAGGGAGGTGACATAGGCTCCGCAAGGGAGAAAAAAGAAAACATATAATAATGTCCTCTGAGAGGGAGGCATTCAGTTCAGTTATAATCACGGTGTCATGGGGGACCTTGCAAACCCTCATATCCCGATGATTGGACGCAAGTGGTACGAGCACTCGGGCCCATAAGTAAGATAAGATAAGATAATAAGAATTTAATAAGACATGATCATAATTAAGCATAATTGGCTCATGCATATTTATTCATGTGAACTCATACTTATTTTGCGAGAGATAGTTCCTACTTGTTGAGCGAAAGCTCATCATATAATATTTATACTGTAGGTA